GGGAAAAATAATAACTTAATCCCTAATTTGCCTCGGTGTGGTTCTACATCAATATCCTCATTAAGATGCCTTAAACTAGGCCTAAGAATGCCTAGGATGAAATGAGGATGCAAAGATGCCCTTTTAAAACACTTAACAAATTTTCAAAAAATAGGGGTCCCGCTCGAGCGTGGGTTTACCCTCTCGAGCGTAAAGGCAAACAAAATACTCCGCTCGAGCGCCAGTTACCCCGCTCGAGCGAACTGTAAAACATGCCAAAAGTACTGGATGTGTGAAAATCACGCTCGATTGGGTGCTCGATACCCGCTCGAGCGTGTGACACAAGTCCTCGCTCGAGCGTCCAATACCCCGCTCGAGCGGACTGTAAAACAGTGTAAAGTGCTGGATGCACGAATTTCACGCTCAAGCGCCAGTCACTCCGCTCGAGTGTGAGTCCAAAATTTGGAATTTCCAGATTTGAACCTCAAGCTCAAAACTAAGTTTTAAAACACCAAATTCGATCCTCTTGGGCCAATTTTCTAGAAAACTCTTGTAAACTCATAATATAACATGATTCAAAGCTCAATTTGTAAAATCAAAGCCCAAAGGTAGTTCAATTAAACCCAATTTCAAACCAAACTTCAAGAACATACTTTAAATGTAACATGCATGGATTTAAACAACTCCAAGGCTTCAAATACTTGCTCCAAAGAGCCAATTCCTTCAAAAACAAGATGAATTCATGGTCCATTGCAAAAATATGAACATGCATGAGGAATTTCATGAACATTAACTTCAAAACTCAAGAATGGCAACATGTATGCATGGATTAAGCTCTTAATTCAACATATGAAGCTAATTCATGTCTTTAATCTCTAGACTTCCATGCCATGCAACAAAATGACTTGAATTCATGAACAAGAAGGTATAAACTCTACCTTAAGTCTCCAATTATAAGACTAGAAACTCAAGTAGGCAATCTCTTCTATGATTCTTCGAATTCCAAGCTAAAACTCTCAAGAACAACTCAATTCTCTCACTCTCTCTCTCTTAGTCGGTTGAGGGCTCAAGAGTGGCTGAACAAATGTTCTGTTTGAATGTAATAAGGCTTCAATATGTGTTGCCTAAGTGGTCCACTAACATGGCATTATGGTAAATATTTGGACTTTTGTGCTTTAATGCTATTTAATCTAATTTAATCATACCAAATCACATTTCAAGTAAATATACCATAAAATCCCATAAATTCTAATTAGCACATAACGCTAATCAATTTCTAGTTCAGCCGCCGATAAGGCCTTCAATTTGCAGTTTAAAGCATAAAACATGAACATATAATTTAACAGTCAACAGATAGAATTGCATTCAAACTAGCACAATCAATCACTCGATTCAGAATTTCAGTTAGTCAGTCAATTAACATGCTTAATCATAGATTAGCACTAATCGATGTTATTATCAGTAAACAGGAGTAAGAGTTGTCACAAAAGCAACTCTATGATGCTTCATAAACAAGTAGTTGTCACAAAGATTCAATTTTGCATCTTTGGCAAAGGAAATAAGAGACTTCTTTGCCAAAATTTGCAACCCTTTCTCACTCATGTAACCCAACCTTTTGTGCTACAAATTTGGTGATGTTTCATCTTCTACTACATTAAGACTATTTGAAATCACATTTACATAAGTCTTGTACAATGTACCAGGTGCTTGTCCTCTAGCTACTACTAAAGATCCCTTTTTCAATTTCCACATGCCTTTGTCGAAGTAGTTCTCATAGCCTAAAAAAAGGAACTGAACCATTCTTATGACCCTTTTTCAATTTGGTAATTGTTAGTTGATCATATATCTCATTTTAGTTCTATGATTCACAGTATTCTTTCCTATTTGATCCATTCGAATTCAGTGGACATTTAAATTTATATAGCTCCACTCAATGGTTCCAAGACCAATTAAGGTTCAAAGTGAAAGTCTGGTCTTAAAATTTTCTCCTAGCTTCATCACTAATATTGATTAAACAATGTGAATTTAATATACATATGGTAAACAGATAGAAGGAGAAGCTATCAAACCTTTGCCAACATACAGTACCCATGCAAAAACTGCAGCTGAAACAACACACAAGAGCAGCATTCCAACCTTCTTGCGGCCAGCAAATTTGCAGATCCAATGAAACACATTCTCCTTCTCTTTGAGCATCTTGGAATTCTTTCGTGAGGCAAGAGGTGGCGATGTTTGGATTGCCAAAAACCCGTTTTGGACCTGTTGTTGCAATGACCCATAACTTCCTGAACTACGAAGACCCAATAACACAGTAGTCATTGTTCTTCCCTCAATCCCTCAACTCCCTCTCTCATCTCCCCTAACCTCTCATCCACACCCAAATGTATAAAATTCCTCTTCCCAATCCTGAATTCAACTCCAAATTCAGACCCAGCTCACCAAATTAGCTCCAAACATAGAAGCACTCCTAAGTTTCCATCAAACTAATCCAATGACACCAACCCACCAACAAAACTACTACAAGTCTTAAAACTCAAAACCCAATAAAAATTCTCTTTTTTTCTGGCAATAACAAACACAATTGGGTACAAACAAATCAACATAATTTGAAACACATCAACTATACATAAACACAATTACAAACTAATCAAAACCCACAATGGAATTGAAGTCACTATCAAAAAATAAAACACACTCACAGATCAATGCGAAGCGGTGTATACAGAGAGCTCTGAAACCGAAATGGTGTTTTTCGGAGAATGATTTCTAGGGTTTCTGAGCGTAAATCTAGGGTTTGTGCAAACCAAAGTTTTTGACAAATCTGGGATCACACACGGTTTACGAGTTCCCTGTATATGAGGTCTATGAGATTTTTTTTTTTTTTTTCTTCAAATTATTGGATGAAAAACTGAGAAATTCATCACGTACTTATATTATTGCATATATAATAAAAAAATTAATATCCTATAATATGTAAGTTTACGAGTAAGGGCTATTTTGATAAAATAGTTGAAAGTCATTTTTAATTTTTAATTTATTGGCTATTTTGATAAAACAGTTAAAAGTCATCTTTTAATTTTTAATTTATTTTGAGTTATATTATTTTTTATATATTTGTTTTTTAAAAAAATTAATAAAATTAAAATTTTCGTTTTTAACTATTTTTTCAAAATAATCTTAAGTGTATTAATAAATTTAGTTTCCGTTTGGCATGTGACTTTTTTAACTTGGTTTTTTTGGTTTTCGATTAAAAAATTCATTTGAGTTAATTTTTTAAATTTTTGTGAGAAAAAATTAAAATAATTATGATTTAAATGTGATATTTTATCTTATTAATTTTTTAGTCCATTTAGTGTTTTTTAATTAATTTAACCAAAAATTCACATGTCAAGCGAAATCGTGTAATAATTTTTTACTTTAACATATAAAAATTTGTCATGTGATATGAGGAGAAGGTTTAGACACCAAATCTAGTAGGTACATATATAATATACAAACAGGCAGCACAAGTAATGCAGGTACAATTTAAGTAAGTAAAGATAAAATAGATTATTTATTATATATTGTGTTTGAGTTAAGTGATACGAGTCTTCTTCATTATACTATTTGTCCACAGTTTGAGTCTCATGTTCATTATTTGTCTAATAATTTTTTTTAAATGACAAAATGAACACTTAGCATTAAAATAGAGGACGGCTTCAGACACCAATTAAAATGTTTGCTTTATTAATTGTATAGAAGATATATTAGGTATGTGAGTACACTCGATGAGTGTCCTTAAACTATAAATTTTAAGTTTAAATTAATAACATATTTTTTTATAATGTTTAAGTGATAAGAATATTCTTCAGTAAGTTAAATGAATGGTTTTAAGTTCATAAAATTTTTTGTCTTTTTTATTTTTTTTTTTTTTTTTTATGAAAAAATTAACACTTGTCGCAAGAAGAGAAGGCCACTTAACAAAATGGGAGAGAAATTTATGGACACCATGTGCGGTGTTCACTTTTAATAATAATATAGATATAAATATATACTAGTAGGTGGTACACGTGATACATATATAATTTAAATAAATAAGAATAAATATAAATAATAAAAAAATTAATATTATAATATATATATTGTCTAAGTATTAAGAGTACTTTTAATGAAACCGAAGGATTTGAGGTTAAATTTGCTCAAGTTTTCAAATAATAATTTTTTTAAATACATGTACACCAAATCTAATGCGCTGAAATATATAATAATATAGATAGATAAATACTGGAATGATAATAAATACTGGAATGATAGTATAGGTATATAGATAAGTGAAGAAGTGACGTTCCCTAACGTGCGCCGCGTAACTGCGATTTATACCGTCGGTGACACCAGCAGACGGTGCTATCTGTACCTTTGTGTACCACTTTATCCTTATTAATGACGTTATTAATAAAAAATAGGAATAATTACAAAAAGAAATTTAATTGTTTGGAGTAATAACAGATTTTTTATTTTATTTTTTTGTCACATCACCTCATCATTTTTACTTGTTTTGAAACATGCAAAAAAAAAAATTAATTTATTAACTTATTGACTTATTTAAATTACATCATATTTTTATTTTTATTTTTTTACGCTTTTTAGAAACAATTCAAAAAAAATTAATAAACTACCTTTTTTCTTACTTTTCAAAACAAGCATTTATGCACATTTTTTTCAAAAAAAATTAAAAAATATACTAATTTAGATCATTTTAAATAAAAAATTTTAATTTTATCAATTTAAACTCTAATTTTTTTATTTTCAATTTAAATTATTTATCCATTTTCATTATGCAAAACTGATAAAAAAAAATATTGGGAAAATTAGTCTAAGGTCCCTCTCTCATTTTTAATAATGGAAGAGATCCACAAAATTATTTTTTGATGTCTAAGGTTCCTAAACATATATCAGAGAAATTTGACTCTTTGTCTTTCCTCTCATCCTCTACTGCTACCTTTCAACCACAACCACAACCATATGCAGGCCCCTTGAAGAAGATGTACGCGTTCGGAGACTCGTATATCGACACGGGCAACACAGGCTCCACCAGCGGCCCAAGTGGCTTCAGCTATGTATCGAACCTCCCTTACGGCTGCACATACTTCCACCACTCCACCAACCGCTACTCCGATGGCCGCCTCGTCATCGACTTGATAGCACAATCTCTGTCCCTCCCATACTTGCCTCCTTACATCTATCTTATTAATAGCAACCAAAAGCCATCATTAATGGGTGTCAACTTTGCTGTTGTTGGTTCTACTGCAATAATACAGTTTCTTTGTGAAAAACAACCTCATACTCAACATCACTCCTCAATCCCTTCAAACCTAGCTCACTTGGTTCAACAACTTCTTGGAGTCTCAGGGGTGTAGAGGAGGAGGAGGCCCCACAACAACTACCACAACCACCTAATGCAATGCAACAATCAATGATGCTCTCTTCTGGGTTGGCGAAATTGGAGCCAATGACTATGCTTATACCATTAGATCTACTAAAACTGAATTTTCTGTGACGATTAGAAATTTGGGAGTTTTTTCAAATTTATCTGATTGTTCAAATTTCTCTGGTAAGTCTCCACATTGTTCAAATTTCTCTAGTAGATCTTTGGTTTGTTTAAATTTCTCTAGTTGTTCAAATTTCTCTAGAAGCTTTGTTATTGCCTCATGTTATCTCCAATTAATCATTTGTCATATTGTGTATTTGTGTTGATGCTATCAAAGTGCTCTTGTTTATATGGCTTTCATGGTGCTACTACAGCTACTTATTTGATGTAGAAAGAAGATGATGATGATGATGAAAGCTATCAAAGAATTTCTCTGGAGGAAGAATTTGAATTTGAACCCAGAGAAATTGGTCTAAGGTCCCTCTCCTGTTTTTGATAATGAAATAGATCTACAATATTTGAATTTGAATTTGAACACAAAGAAATTTGAATTTGAATTTGAATTTGAATCCAAAGAAAATTGGTCAAAATGATTTCATAAAATAATATTGTGATCTAGAGAAAATTGGTTAAAATGAATCCAGAGAAATTTGAATTTTCTTTGGTTTATAAATGAACCCAAAGAAATTTAAATTCAAAATTTGAAGCCAGAGAAAATTGGTCAAAATGAACCCAGAGAAATTTGAATTTTCTCTGAGTTCAACCTACATAAATTCTTTGGGAAGTCCAGAATTTCTCTGGATGAAATTTCTATGGATGAGAATTTCTCTGGAGGGAAATCTCTCTGAAAAGTCCAAAGAAATTCTCTGGATGAAATTTCTCTAGATCAAATTGAGGGATTTTAGATATTATGAAAATATTTGGTATTCTTTATATTATAAAATCTTAATACCAGGGACTTTAAAAAAAATCTTCAAAAATATTTTAAGAATTTCAAATAAACTATAAATTATAGTTTAAAAAAATCTCTAATTTCTGGCCAAATAAACTGAAAAGGTAAAATAACTTTTAATTTATAATTACGACTAAATACTATTAACTCTTAAGTCAAAAATTTAAGCACTCCCTGACCAGCTTTTGAGATAAGCTGAGAAATAGCTTGATTTAAGTTATAAGCTGGTTAACTTAAGCTGTACCAAACATAATATTTTAACTTAAATTAAGTTAAAAACTGAAATAAGCAGCTTATAAGCCCTACCAAATAGATCTTATATCTTATATATTAACAAAAAATAAAAAATTAAAAAAAATTAAAAATCAAATATACAAACAGATAAAATTAATAAATTTAATTTAAATATTTTCAGTTGAAATCTTTCTTTTATTTCTTAATATTCAATTTTAAAATTTAAAAATATTTAAAATCTATCTAAACCAATCTAATTTAAAAATATCTTGCCATTCTTGAAATTATCACCTATAATTTGCACGTGTTCGCACCCCCTGAGTAGATTTGAAAGAAAGGATTTCTCGGAGCAATCCGAAGAGGGCATTTAATGCAAGTAATTGTTTTCGAGATCGAACGCATTTGGGTAGCTGTGGAGAGCTAGCGGGGGGAGAGTTCCCTCTGAGGGGTATTTTGAAAAGATGATAAAAAATAATTTTTTGATTTTTAACTAAATTTTTAACTTTTTTAGATAAATTATTTGAGAAATTAGTAAAAAGTTACTTTTGATTTTTTTGATTAATATTTATTTATGATATCAAATCACAATGAAATGAATAAACTATCTTCATTCAATTTAAAATATTTATAACTTTGCCCAGGTAACATATTTTGACCCATGAAAAATAGAACTGTAATTTCACCAAAGATTAAAAACTAACTTTTCAAATATCTTTAAACACAAAAAAAACTAACTTTTAACTTTTACTATAAACTAAAAAAAAGTGACTAAAAACCTCGCCTCGGGAGATTCTTTTCTCTCTGATAATAAGATTTTTACTATCAGATTTTAAATTAATAAAACTTACACCTATCACATATCTTGTACACATTAATATTATAACTTACCTAATTAATAATAATAATAATAAATAGAAATCACCAATAAATTAAATTAAAAAAATAAAAAGTCACAAATCCATCTTAAGTATATTGAAAAAAAAAATGAAAACTATACATAAATAAAAAAAAGATAAGAATTTAAATATGGATCTTAAAAAGATATGACAATAAATTAAATTATGATTTAATAATATAACTATCTATTTTTATTTTATTTTTTATGTATATCTATCTAAATTTTAAATCACTTATTGGAACAAATTAATCAATTTTTAAGTCTTATTTAAAGAATAATCTGATTAATCATCCTAACTTATAGACTTCACAGGGCATTGGCGGATGAGCTGACATATTGGGTTGAGCGAGGTCTAACTTGTTGGAAATAACATCTATCACTCCAAAAATTTATTTATTTGTTTTTTTATTTTATTTTTATTTTTATTTTTTTGCCAGTGTGATTATCTTTCTTTGTTTTTGGTTTTGGTTTTAGTTTCGGTTTTAGTGAGGTTTATGCATTTGTTTACAAATTTGCATAGTAAAGAAAAATTATTGATGATGATAGTTGCAATCGAAATATTTATGCCCATTTTGCATCAATGATTTTGATAAGCTTTTGTTTTCTTTAATGAAGACCATGAAATTAAAGTTAAAAAAAGGAAGATTGACCAATAAGTCTCATATTTTGGATTTGTAATTCATATAGTCTTATATTTTTTCTTGTGATCCATTCAGTCCTTTTGGATATGTAATAATTCATTGGAGTGTCATATTCTGAAAAAATATACTAAAGAGTTTTTTAGTGTCAAATCATACTCGTCATGTTAGAGTATCACATTTAAAAAAAATACACTAAAAGCTTTTAATTTTTTTAGAGTATCATATCATACCTGTCATGTTGGAGTGTCGCATGTCACGTTTGAAAAAAGTAAAATAAGGAGTTTTTATTTTTTTTGAAGTGTCACATCATACTCGTCATGTTGTCACATTTAGAAAAAGTACACTAATGAGTTTTTAATTTTTTCAGAGTGTTACATTATATCCACCACGTTGTCATGTTTAAGAAAACTATACTAATGAGTTTTTATTTTTTTGATGTGTCAGAACATACTCGACACGTTATCATATTTGGGAAGTACGCTAAATTTTTTTTAGAGTAAAAGTTTTAGAGTATCATGTCATACTTACTACACTGTCATATTTAGGAAAAGTACATTAAGGAGTTTTTAAGTTTTTTGAAGTGTCACATTAATATATGTTACATTAGAGTATCACATTATACCTGTTATATTAATAAAAGGGTATAGTTGTCTATCAAAACAATACCAAAATCAAAAATTAGATCACTCGGAAAGAAACTTTTTACTAATAAGACTAATTGGAGTACTTGTTTGTTTACTAATATGACTTAACAAATCAATAAAAAAAAAATTGGAACTAATTAGAGTACTTGTTTGTGAGATGAGATTTATTGTTAAATATTCCTAAAAAAATTGGGCATTAGATTTTTTTATTTTTTATTGTTGTTTTATTTTGTAAAAAATGTGAAAATTTATTCGGAAATCAAGATTTTTACTATAACATTAGATTTTTTTTTTTTTTTGTATAATTACGTAAATTTGGAAATTTTAAATATCATTGTGTTATTTATTTTTATCCTTTTTCTATCTCATTGTACCATTATTGCTATTTGTTAGTTTGTTAATTGTAATTTAATTAATTGAAAATGAAAGTTTAATATAACTTTTCATAGGGCAAATTACACAAATAGTCCCTATAGTAGAAGGCTTGTGTCACTTTGGTCCCTGACTTTTCAATTGTGGCACATTTGACCTTGAATTTTGAATCCTGTTCCAAATAAGGACAATTGAATATATAATTAGATTTTTCAATGGTAAAATTGTCAATTTGATAAAATATAAACTAATTTGACAAAAATAAATGTCAAACAAATGCTTTTGAATTTTAAAAAATTATTTCTACCTACTAAAAATAAAATTATGTAAAATTGATAAATTTTTTAGACATTTATTTATTTATTTTACCAAATTAATTTTTATTATGTATTTGGATGATGATCATGTAAAATTAATTTAAAAAAATTAATCATGTAATTTTTATTAATTTTACATAATTTTATCATTGGTGGATAAAAATAATTTTAAAAAAATTAAAAATATTTTTTTGACATTTATTTTTGTCAAATTAGTTTATATTTTATCAAATTGACGATTTTACCCTTGAAAAATCTAATGATATTTTCAATTGTTCTTATTTGGAACAAAATTCAAAATTCAGGGACCAAAGTGACACAAGTCCCAAACTATAGGAACTATTAGTGTAATTAACCTATTTTCATATATATTATAGTTAATTTGTTACCGCTATTGTTATATATAATAGCATAATAGATAAAGATAATCTCTAAATATAATTTTTACTTTTTTTTTTATGTGATTACAATAGTCCATTCTTAAATAGTATATAGAGGAGTTATATGACTTCTTTTAGCCCCAAAATGTCCAATCTATTTTTTTAAAAACTTCTTAATTTTTTAAATTGAAATATCAGTTATTTATGTCCAAAAATCAAAACTAATAAACACATGTCCAAAAGCTACACATTTATTTTTTGCTTTTTCCTTTCTTTTTTCCTTTTTTCTTTTTTAGTAGGTAAGATATTTACAAATGAAAAATGTTTGGTGACGTGGCTAAGCCCATAGAGGCATAACCCACTATAAACAACCCAAACCCATCACTTGGAGCCCAGTACATAACCTAACTGGTGGAGTCCAGAACAACTGGAATCCAGCATGGCACAAAGAGCCAATGACATTCAGACATATGGCAGGCAAAGGACGAGCCACATCAGCAGACAAAAATCTGCAAAGTTATTGCCACTTCACATCACCATTAATGCAGCCC